AGACAACGGTCCAGCGATGCCTCAGGGACTCGGCGTTGGAAATGCAAATATGTTCACCTGTGTATTGAAGGATTCTGTCAGGCTCAGGTAGGTCTGTGCAGGCCAGGTCCTTCTTACAATATAAGGGACATCACGTGAAGATTGCCACCCCCCAGTATGTTTCAGTTAATTATTAAACACCCTAATAAGTATAATTAGGATAGATTAGGTTTGGTTCAGTTCAGTTCGGATAAATTAGGTTAGTGTTATGCTAGGCTAGCGTTAGGGTGGTTAATCAACAGGTGAATTAAGCCAAGGGGTTAATCTTCACGTGATCCCTCAAACACCACCTAGCCTAGCCTAGCCTACCCGAGACGTGACGCCCAGCTGTAGTATAACGTGCCATGGTTCATAAGCCTGTCATGCACCAGATGTATTTAATTCAATTTATCCATCACAGCGTCAGAGCCATAACGCAGACTACTCCCCCGGAACTAGACACAAGACCCCCGGAACTGGACACAAGACCCCCGGAACTGGACACAAGACCCCCGGAACTGGACACAAGACCCCCGGAACTGGACACAAGAACCCACACATACAAGTATCACGCCAAAACACACACACACACACACACACACTAACAGAGAAATAGAGAATGACTATTATTATCAAATATCAAAATCATCATCATCATCATCAATGGAATTATCAATACCACCATCATCACCATCATTAAGAAGTATAGTACTAAGGCCAGCTGCTCCCTGACCACAAGCGAGCTACGAGGATAAGGTCAGAGGTCACCTACAGGGCCCCGGGATAACACACACACACACAATCAATTATTCACTCCTGGGCGTACCGGTCTACCTGCTGGTCACTCTTTACGTCGCCGCGGCCTATGTCTGTCAAGGGGAGATTCTAGGATTGAACGTCTCAGTGCTGTGATTTAGTTTGGTTAGGTTAAGTATGTGTCTAGGTTTTTCTGTTTGAGTACTGTAATGAGTTAGGATAGTGTCTTAAGATTAATGTCTGAGAGCTGTAGTTAGGATAGGTTAGGTTACTGTCTTGGTCTTATGTCTGCATGGGGTGGCTTGTAGTCATGTCTGTGCAGTGTGGCGAGGGTTAACGTCCACTCACCGTAACAAAGGGAAACATCTCGTCTGGGAGCCGTAAACACAAGCTTCGAACACTGCCTCTCAGACCTGCGTCAACATGTTTAACATCCACTCACGTCTACAAACATTATTTACAAGTTTTTAATCACAACTAGCGGGGAGGAGATGGGAGAAAGAAAGGAAAGGGAGATGGAAGGGGAGGAGGGTAGGAAGGGAAGAGAGTTGGAGAAAGGGAAAGGGAGTGGGAGAAGGGGGACGAAGAAGGGAAGGATGGGGTAGGAAGGAAGGGGGGAAGGAAGGAAAGAAGGGAAGGAAGGAAAGAAGGGAAGGGGAGAAAGAAGGGAAGAGGGGTAGGGAAGAATGGAAGGGGAGGAAGGGGAATAGAGGGGAAGGAAGGGGAAGGGAGGGAAGGAAGAAAGGGGAGGGGAAGGGGAGGAAGGAAGGGAAGGAGGGAGGGGAAGAGTGGGGTAAGAAGGAATGACGGGGAGGAAGGAAGGGAAGGGGAGGAAGGGAATAGAGGGGGGGAGGAAGGTAGGAAAGAGAGGGGAGGAAGGAAAGAAAAGAGAGGGGAAGACGGAAAGAAAAGAGAGGGGAGGAAGCAAGGAAGGGAAGGGGCAAGGAAGTAAAGGCCTTTAATATTTTAGGCAATAATAATCAAATGCGTGTTATTCATTTCGTTTTAAATGTAGAAGGTACCGAGGGTGGAGGGGCATAGGAGGGGAGGGGGGGGGTCACCAGAACCACAGCCGAGATACATAGAGACCTGAGAATGAAACCCATCAACCAGCAGCTGCACACCCTGGCCAGGAGAATCTGGCAAAAGATAGAACGATCAGAGCAAGAACTCCTTCAAAGACTCCCACCAGATAACGAAAACAACCATACATGGTTCCCAAAAAGTTACCAAATCTCAAAAGGTCCATTACCACCCCCGATCTACACGGCCAGGCAATAGACAACCTCCCTAGACCAGCATCCGCCAGTAGGGTCGGCGGAATATGAAACAAGGCCCTTAAAACACCCATATATGGGACAGGGTAGGCTGTCTAGTGCCTGTACCGACAGACAATAACTAACCCATGACACAACCCTAACACTATTAGCTTAGTCAGCCCGCCCTCTCTTACCTCCTCCTAAATTTCTTCAATTTCCGAACTATAACTTCTTTCCCCCACCTCTAATCTTCCTTCACCTCTCCTCTCTCTCAAAAAAAAAGGGTCTCTGTACTGGGTTGAGATTCACAATAATTTTTACGTTGAAAAATATTCCTCGTATAAACGAATCTGAAAATATTCTTAAGGTGTTGTCTAAAATATGAGATTTATATTTATTTATTTAAAATTTTGACAGAGGAACGAATCAGGAGGTTAAAATAGGATAGGCTAGGTTGAGATAGGATAAGTATAGTTAAGATAGGATAGGCTAGGTTGAGATAGGATAAGTATAGTTAAGATAGGATAGGCTAGGTTGAGAGAGGATAAGTATAGTTAAGGTAGGATAGGTTAGTTGAGATAGGATAAGTATACAGATAGGATAGGCTAGGGTTGAGATAGGATAAGAAGAAGATAGGATGTAGGCTAGGTTGAGATAGGATAAGTATAGTTAAGATAGGATAGGCTAGGTTGAGATAGGATAAGTATAGTTAAGATAGGATAGGCTAGGTTGAGAGAGGATAAGTATAGTTAAGGTAGGATAGGTTAGGTTAAGGTAAAAGAGGTTAGGGTGGTTAATCTTTAGGTGAAATAAGCTGGGGTGGAGATAAACATTTAAGCGTTGACCAGCCTGAGGTATACACTGTGTAGAGTATCAGCCAGGTCTACCGGATGGGAGATGAGTGTGCCAGTGCAGTTAGCGAGTTGTCCGGTCTTCTCGGACTATTTCTTGACACTGGATCATGCAGCTCGTTAACTCAGGGTATGGTTGTTGTGTTGGCGACAGCTTCTACACCTTAAACAAATTCACGCCTAGGTGGTCTTTGGGCCGCAGACACCTCATTCTCTCCCTCGTCTGTGAGTAAGTTGAGTACCTCTGTTGGTCCTCCCTCTCCCTCACACCAACACCTCCGCCACACCTTCCCCTCCCTCCCTTACACATCCTCCTCCTTCCCTCCCTTACACACACACACACACACGTTAACTGCTGGTCGTGTGGTGTAATAATAGGAGTAACGATGATAATGATGATGATGATGATAACGATGATGATGATGATGATGATGATGATGATGATGATGATAACGATGATAATGATGATGATGATAATACAATAACAGTGATAACAATAACAATGAAGACGATGACGATGATGATGATGATGATAATACAATAACAGTGATAACAATAACAATGAAGACGATGACGATTTACAAATCTTATAACAACAACAGGTAATGGGACACATGAATTAATGCCAACAACAGGTAATGGGACACATGAATTAATGCCAACAACAGGTAATGGGACACATGAATTAATGCCAACAACAGGTAATGGGACACATGAATTAATGCCAACAACAGGTAATGGGACACATGAATTAATGCCAACAACAGGTAATGGGACACATGAATTAATGCCAACAACAGGTAATGGGACACATGAATTAATGCCAACAACAGGTAATGGGACACATGAATTAATGCCAACAACAGGTAATGGGACACATGAATTAATGCCAACAACAGGTAATGGGACACATGAATTAATGCCAACAACAGGTAATGGGACACATGAATTAATGCCAACAACAGGTAATGGGACACATGAATTAATGCCAACAACAGGTAATGGGACACATGAATTAATGCCAACAACAGGTAATGGGACACATGAATTAATGCCAACAACAGGTAATGGGACACATGAATTAATGCCAACAACAGGTAATGGGACACATGAATTAATGCCAACAACAGGTAATGGGACACAATACTTAGCATAAATAATCGATAGTTTATTTATTTCCAGCTATACTGTATATAAATTTCCAGGTAGCCAGCCATTACGCCGCCTCCTACACCACCTACCCGCCCACCCTCTTGGCCACAGCTGTCTCTCTCCACTCAAGCTTATTTCAGCTTAAGATTAACCACCCTAACGCTAACCTAACTACCATAACGCTTATAACCCTTGACCTCATCTGCAAGTTTAGGGAGAAGCTTTTGCACCATCTTCGACCCCGTTTCCCACTCTCTCCCGCTATCCCTTGTCCACGACTTGCTGTTCGACACCACAACCACATCCAGCCCATACGAGCACGTACTGATCGCTATAAGAACAACCCAGTCCTAACCATTGTAATGATTTTCAACAACTCGTAGATACCCTGTCAGTCTTGCGTACTGTTAACGTGCTGAAGTCCTTTGTCAAATGACCTTTTTCCCCTCTTAACTATATATTTGTACCACGTATGTCACCTGTATATTATGTATTAATCAAGTGACCCATTCTCCAATTCCAAATCGGTAACTTATACAATTTCTGTTAACTATTTTAAGTCCTGTGGCTGCCATGTTCCTTCAATAAACTATTATTATTATTACACACGCATGCACTACCCTAGTAAGAATGTGTACCATATACACCATTCACATATACACACAAACACACACAGGCACATACACACAGGCACATACATATAAACACAACTGAGAACATATCGTATTACCAGTAGCACCAATACCAACATTTCCACCTGTGACAATAACCTGTTGATATTCTCCCCTCCCCCACTACGCACCTTCATATGAACACGGACCACCACACACACTGACCTAACCATCACTTCAACAAATTAATAATATGACGCGTTTCAAGATATTAATGTAGTACACCAAACCTTCTACGACTCCAAGTAATTGTTAATGTTGCTTGAGATTAACTGAACCTATTAAATACTCACCAGTTGGGGCGTGTTGAACTAAGGGTCAGTTTAGGGGCAAGTGACCAACTACCTCGTCAAACTTGTTCAGAACGTAATTGGGTAGTTTCTCTTGTATACAGCAGCTGAAGGTTAAGTTTATTAAAGTTCACTATATATATACTGTATATATACACTATTTACTAAAGTCATACATTTGCTCTTCAAATACGGATAATTGCAGGATAGATTCTCTTTCACTATCACACTGTAGCCACAGACTACACCCTTCCCCTCTGGTTGCCACGGACGAACTGACCCGCGTTCCCCTGCTGGAGCTGCTCAGCCACTCTCCCGACTCCCACCTCAATGAAAGCCAGGCTCGCTGAGTGGACGTCCCCAAGTTATGTTACAAACACCCGCTTAACGAGGCTAAACGAAGACTCCAACATCCTTTAAAGTGTAACATCATAAACAAACTTGAACTTAACATAGCTGGGGCATGTCACTGTCTCGCCACGAACGGAAAGAGGAGGGATTCGAACCAAAGTTACAGAGAGACGCATGAGGATGAGGGTGAAGCAAGAGGATGAGGGTGAAGCAAGCAGTTGGCGGTAATAAGAGACCTAACGTGGATATGACCCAATTAAGCAGTTTTAGGAACTTAATTTCCATCTTACAGAAACAGATACACTGATACTAGTGATGATGATGATAATAATTAGAACAATGATGAAGCAAAGAGGATAATAATTTTAGTAATAATATTAATAGCAACAAATAATAATAATAATAAAATAACGACTATTCTCATTATTACTATAATAATAATGATAAAATACCTTAGAAGTATAATGAAACAAAATGAACCATATATAAAAAAAACGTAATCCAGGTAGGGCAAGTAAGACAGGTAAGGCAGGTAAGGACAGGTAAGGACAGGTAAGAACAGGTAAGAACAGGTAAGGACAGGTAAGAACAGGTAAGAACAGGTAAGGACAGGTAAGAACAGGTAAGGACAGGTAAGAACAGGTAAGAACAGGTAAGAACAGGTAAGGACAGGTAAGGACAGGTAAGAACAGGTAAGAACAGGTAAGGTAGACTAGTAGTGAGGGAGTCATGTGATGCTGTAGTGGTCAAGGCAAGACGACAGATCATCTATCACACTGGATCCTGAGTTCTTTCCCTGCCTCACCTTTATCTTCACCAACCCCAGGTTTAATGGTGTGTGTGTGTGTGTGTGTGTGTGTGTGTGCGTGTGTGTGTGTCTTCATGTATGCCATTAGTTAGTTTTTGTCAGTGGAAGTTAGGTGTAGGGATGAGGGAGTAATAACAGAAATATTAATGGACAAAGTTGAGGATAGGAAGGCCAGGGGAAGGCTGAGACTGGGATGGATATGAATGAAATTAAAAACTGTGTCCCCGGAGAGATACAAAACCTTAGAGAATTGATAAAAACAGAGTGGAGGACTGTGGTCGCCAACCCTCAGGTATGAAGATGGTACTCTGATTTATTGATCGATTGATTAGGATTTAAATATGAGAAACAGTGGGGGGGGGAGTCAACTGGTAGCGTATCCTTTCCTAGCCGAGATCTGTCTCTTAATAAGCACCGCCGACACACACACACACACATCCCAAGTGAAGGGGGTGAAAATGGTTCATTGGAAGGACAGCTGGTGGATGGGAGTGAGAGTACTAGGAGTGGCTTAACGTGTCAACACCGCCGACGTGAAGCACCTCCATCCTCCCGCCTCGTCAACCTGTAGTAGTAGTAACTTCAAGGCAGATTAACTGTACTTATGACTGAGGCTAATATATTCTGGCCGACCTTTTCTAATGATATATATAAACAGAACCAAACGGATTGTGAAGAGATACAGAAGGATCTCTCTCAGCCTTAGGAGTGGTCAGAGGAATGGTTGTTAGGATTCCACTGTAACAAAATACAAAAGGATGAACCGAGGTCCTGCTAAACATAAACACAGCTGTTGTTTATAAGATTTTTTTCTAACTAATTAGATTTTATCTTTTAATATTATTTCCCATTAAAATAAACAGTGAAACTTATTTTCTGCAGTAAACTCCGATAAAACAGCTGAAAGGAATATGCTGTTTATGCAATCTGGAAATATACTGTACTCACATGTCGGGGTTTGTTCAGTTACAGGAGGTCCCAAGTTACATCCTCCAGGTACAATGTGACGTCACAGGATGGCGGATATTTTGTTTTGAGTACCGCTACTGAGAGGACTTACAGCTTACAGTACTTCTCCTAAAGAACCTAACCTGACCTAACTTAGCAAAGGAGTTTCCCATCTAAATTTGTCATTTTCTTTGGTAACAACGAGAGAGAACCGATGTATGACGAACTACTGTAATATTGGCAGGGTTTACAATTTGTGTTTAGATGACAAGATTTATAGAGGAGATGTGAAGCTGCCGTATATAATCCCTGATATATCTTGTAGGCTTCGTGTGGCCTTTCTTATTTCCAGGTTACCATTGAACCAGGTTTAGGTGGCTGCCTCTATTTCCAGTTTGCTAAATATTCCGATTTTTTTTATTAATTTCTGTAAAACTTATATATTTAAAGTGAATACTGTTATATTTTCGATTGGTAACTAGCTAGGAAAACGAGCGTGGCTCTCACTATTACATCCAGGGTTTGATCCCCAGACGGTGTTAGGTGTGCGACTATCAATCTATGTAAGTTAGGCTAGGTTAGGTTAGGTTAGGTCAGGTTAGGTTGCTCTATTGTATTGATTCATTATTTATTAGCGTACTATAGCCGTTCTGGTGGTTAGTCTGCTCTTTGGTATGAATTTTACTGTCCAGTGTTGGTACAGGAGAAAGGTGCAGCACCCCGAGAAAATCTGACATGTTAGGTAGCGTCACACACCCTGCCAATATCTGTCCTGGGCTAAGACTCAGACCCAAGTGTGAGACATACACTCCTTACCCCTGTACCACAACACCCTTATGGTATCTCCTTCTAGTCACAAATTATAAATATCTGATTGTAGAGTTGTGGTTGTTGTTGTTTTTGGTGGTGGTGGTAATGGTTTGTTTTCAGTCAAGTTCAAATTACCTTTGTTTGTTTGCCTACACTGTATACAGTATGTGCAGCATAGACCATTATGGACATACAGTATATGACAGTTTATACTGCATATCTAGAAACTATTTATCAATCTATTAGGTGCCCGATAGACAATACGAAAACATTCTAATATTTACGTGAGTTAACCAAAAGGTATAGTTTTCTTTCACTAAATTTGAGTGAAAGAAAATGTAATTTTTTTTACGGGTAACTATTAAATATACACATGGCGGCGTTTATAGTTATAATGCTTATTCTAAATTCAAGTGGCTGGTTGTCTACGTGGCAGCTGTTATTTGTCTATTGCTGACAGGACATTTAAGTTCTCAAGGAAGCTCACATCTCAGGGCAGGGGGGGTGGAGGGGGTGGTTAAGGATTCTTCCAATGCAAATCACAAACCAACCTGAAGCAAAACTTCTCACGTGTTTAATGTTGTGGTAAGGAACAGTTGACCTGAGCAGGAGGTCGGATCTCCTAGCCTACTGACCTTCGAGAGACGACTGAGACATAATTGATCAAATAAATATGTCATGTAAGGTCACGAAGCTGTGAGTTAATGCAGTAGCACCACTAAACTGTGGGACTGACTATTAGCACAAATGGATGACCAAGATCTGGGCACACAGACCTCACACCATCCCTCATAATAAACTCAAGTAACTGAAGTTTTTAAATAACTTCTGAGTTCACGCCTCCCCCACAGCCCACTAAGGTGTCACCTCTAGTTTCTTCTCTAAATAACAACCCTACAATACCCTGCCACAAACGCTTCCACATATTAGATATAAAATATATTTCACGAACAAAATGACAAAAATATAATCCATCTAATATTTACCACATGTCCTAGGTTCAGTGTTGTTCAACTGGTGGTGGTCAGCGCTGCTCACATGCACCGCACTCCCGCAACTTTACTTTACTTTACTTTATCCTTTTCACCACTGATCGGCTCGTTATCCACTTGGACGGTCGGTCACGTCTCTGCAACACACTGTTAGCAAGTACTGAGCATGTACTGGCTCCTGAATGTATGTGAACCTGCTCCAGTGTTGGTCAAGTCTGGTCTTGAATGAGCTCACGCTCGGTGCCGTCACAACACTCTCTGCCAGATTATTCCAAGAGTTTACAATTCTCACTACGAAAAAGTTTGACCTGACAGTTTTCTAAACTTGTGGCTTCACCCATCCTGAGGCTCTCAATGTAGTACACTGTAGAGTCACGGTCAAAAGTCCTGTCGCCTCTCCTGCTGCTCCACGAACCCCGGGATTCAGAATCGTGAATCTGAAGCATCCTGGATAGAATAATGCAGCAGTGTCTATTGCTTCGGGTTTACGAGTCTGAATCTTGGGGCTCGTGGAGCAACAGGAGAGGTAACAGGACCTTTGGCCGTGACTGTACGTTTGAATGTCTTTGTGTTTCTATTTTGTCCGTGGTTCTCGTGGATTGGTAGCAGTGACAGCCTTTGACAGTCGACCTTTGTACCCACTCGACCGCCACACTGTCTCACCAGTAGACGAGTCAAGAGAGCCTCTGAGTCATAGTACCAGACAAACCAACACACACAGGTAACCACCACCTGACCCCTGACAAAATTGTTTTTTCCATTAAAACTGGGCAGTAAAACACGCGTGTACCCCTCCCCTCCCCTACCTTACTTGTATGACAGAAAATAAAGGGGAAATATTAAATGTGGGTCTCCCCCTGCCTGCCATGACATACAGGTAGAGGGGAGCGCCGCGTCCCTGTCACTGTGAGGGAGCCGCACTGACCACAGCCACCCTCACCATTTACCAAGATTCTATACGTTAATTTTGTCCCCTGGTTACTGTTAACTTATGATACAGTCTCACTACATCTGTCTCATAACTAATGTTAATGTAAAATAATACAGTACATTTACCTGGACACAGACGCTAAATTAACCTATCTAGTTAAGGTGGAGTCTTACTGTAGTTTTGTCCCCTAACTGGTGCTAAATTAACGTATCTGTCATTTTGCTAGTATTCTGGATGTAATTTCTGTGCTGTACCTAGAATTAACCAGTTAAATACAGCCTCACGAGTTGATCTACAGGGAGTGATCAGAACATGAACCTGTGTGTCATGTAACCAGTAGTGATGGTGAGGAGGAGTGATGGTGAGGAGGAGTGATGGTGAGAAGGAGTGATGGTGAGGACTGGTGAGGAGTGGTGATGAGGAGTGGTGGTGAGGAGGAGTGATGGTGAGGACTGATGAGGAGTGATGGTGAGGAGTGATGGTGATGAGTGGTGATGGTGAGCAGGCTGATGACTCCTTGACGATGATGTGTCTGGTTCATTGTTGATTTATAAGGAAGGTTTGGCTGTTTTATTTCAATAGCTATGTTGCACACACACACACACACACACACACATTATCCCTCAACTATCCTTTTATTGTTTACACATTTTTTTTATCCTGTAACTAAAAAAACCACTCCCCCATTTTGTTATTTTCTATAGAGGAAGGGAAGATCTATGAGGTGTGTGGCTCCCTGCTGCTCAGAGTGACAAATGAACATACAACTCACACTGATCACGGGTACAGCAACAGGTTAAAACAAGGGCTACACAATTTTCCATCATAATTGAGTAACGAAGGCTTATGGTGTAGGGGGAGATGTAGGGGTGTATGGAGGGATGTAGGGGGGTGTATGGAGGTATGTAGGGGGGGTGTAGGGGAGGTGTAGGGGGTGTCTCGAGTCCCATCAGGAAGGTTTAGTGAAAGACTGAGGTGATAATTGCCGGTGTATTTTGAATCATTTACATACATTATACAGGACACTGAGAATGACTACGGTGAGGTTATGAACTGTAACACAATGGTCGAGTCAAATGTTCTGTTAGTTAATTAGACACAGAGCTCTCATTAACACACCTGGAAAAATGTAAGAAATAGAGGCATGTTTCTCCCAGGTATGTAGATTATACCGTCCTTAAGACGATGCTTAAACGAGTCATACCTAAATATATATCATATATATTTTAATAGAAGACAAGGGGCCAACATCATCTGGACTGAGGTTTATCACTCGATCAAGATGTTGCTTCACGTAGTTACTCGTAGTTCTGGTCTCTGTTTTTCCACGAGAACCTGACAAATGGTCTTCCCAGTACAGCAAAAATCTTGTCTGTTGGTTCTTGCGTCAGAATGTCAAAGGTCAAGGTCATCACGTGAGTCATTTCATCTGTCACTACTTCATGGGGTTTACTGTATGTGTTTCATGTAGGACTGAACATACTGTACAGCCAGTTGGTGCACAGTATATAAGGGACATCTTGGTATAGCAGATAATAGTGCACTAACCAGGCTGTACCGTGTGTGTGTGTGTGTGTGGCGTAGTACACACACTCACTCCTGGTGTAGACGAAGCCTTTACCTGTACACACACACACACACACACACACACACACACACACACACACACGCACACGCACTCAGGGGTGGCGCTACACCTTGACATATGTGTAGCGTATGTACAGGAAGAGGAGGAGTGCCCCGATAGACATACTGAAAAGGTACTTGGTGAAGACCTTCAGGTGGTGGAGGACTCCGGGGCCGTCTCCTGGGTCCTTCTGCGAGATCAATGCCTTCATGTTCTTCTCCGTGTAGGGGGGAAACCGCGCCCTAGGAGAACAAGAGGCACACGTGGAGAGGTTAATGTGGAGGAGACTTTTGTAGGTATTGCTTACGGTACTAACTTGGGTGAAGTACTGTTATTAATTAGCTTTAAGTACTGGCAATAATTGGAAAAAGTACTGTCATTAATTAGCTGAAAGTACTGTCAAATAATTATAAAAAGTACTGTCATTAATCAGCTAAAAGTACTGTCAATAATTAGAAAAGTACTGTCATCAATTAGCTAAAAGGCCTGGCCCCCCCCCCCCCCCTCAAAAAAAAAAACAAATAAAAAAACATTAAAATTAATATCCCACGACGTACGATGCTCAACTGCAAAACCAAAAGACAAAACCAAACAATAACTTCAGTTCAGTAGTCATACATAAACAAAAAACCAGGATTCAGGTCATATACGAACGTCTTTAATAATATCTATTGTACTGTATTTCTGAATCGGGAGACATAAATAGGATTCTTTAAACCATTCTTAACCTGGATTTAGAGAATTATAGCTGTTCGTCCGGTCTTGGAGATATGACATTACCGGTTCTCTCTGTCTTGGAGATATGACATTACCGGTTCTCTCTGTCTTGGAGATATGACATTACCGGTTCTCTCTGTCTTGGAGATGTGACATTACCGGTTCTCTCTGTCTTGGAGATGTGACATTACCGGTTCTCTCTGTCTTGGAGATATGACATTACCGGTTCTCTCTGTCTTGGAGATGTGACATTACCGGTTCTCTCTGTCATGGAGATATGACATTACCGGTTCTCTCTGTCTTGGAGATATGACATTACCCGTTCTCTCTGTCATGGAGATATGACATTACAGGTTCTCTCTGTCTTGGAGGTCTGTAAACTTTCGTGACGTGGATGGTTCAAGTCTTAGGGAGTTGTGGCGACCATCTTACCTTGTATAAATATTATGCTCTACCAGTTATTGAGAGAGAACCTGAAAAATGTTGAAATTAATTTAGATTCTAGAGATTAAAGTTGATTAATTAGTTCTTTGGGTTTACTGTTGTTTGTGATGTTAAGAGGGAGGTTTAAGTATAGTCTTGGGAGGGTAATGACGCCATCAACAAACACAAACTACCCTAAACTACCATATTTTGACTTAACTGAACGAGATGACACACTTTAAAAATGCCCTCCACGACGCCGCTATAAAAAATATTAGTATCATAAACTTAAGGATCACATCAAGATTAGTTGTGTGAGAGGTGGCGGGTCGGGGTAGGGAGAGGAGGTGAAGGGCAGCAACTGGAACTGATATTCGAGGACATAGGTTCGATCCTTGGGCCAGATAAAGCTTGTTGGTGACCACTGCATCATGCCACGACCAGAGTCATCGTCGTACATTATGGCCATGGACAATGGCCTTGGGTGGATATCGTCTCCTAGCCTAACCACGAGCAGTAGGTCTGAGTGACCATTCTCTCTCACACACACACACACATTGGTCATGAACAATAGCCTAACATGGCCAACCCTTCATACTGTGGCCCAGAGGGTGGCCATCAAGCTCTGGCCAGGGATGTTATCGCCGAGGGCTGTAACAAATGTCTGTTCAGTTAAAGATAAGCAAATGCAATTTTACCGCGTTGAATACCTCGCCGGGCTTATCTGATGCCCAGTTTTTCGTCTGCATTGTGAGATATCCTTAATTCTGCTTTAAATTCGGGGATCCTCTGCATAATTAAGCAGGCGGACAACTTTACGCGGGTATAACGAGCAGAGTGAGGAGATGAGGCTATCGGTGGAGCGCCTCAGCCCTCGTAAAGTGAAGACGCTCCTCTCTCGTCTGTTTAATGGCCGCCCTCCTTAAGGCCTCCTCCTCTAAGCCTGGAGACAAACACAATCTATCATCTCTGTCTCCCTCGTGTGGGCGTGTCATAAGTCACAACATACCCGTGGTGCCAGGTATCACAGAGGCTTGACACACACACACACACACACACCTGTACACACACACACACACACACCTGAGATCGGTAACACAACACTTCAGGTAAATCACAGTTACAAGTAATTAATTTAATCCTTCACTTAAACATTTACTTAAGAGTAGTATCAACATCACCAACAGGAAAGACATAAAAAAAAATCACTCAATCTAATTAAAGGTGAAGACAATAAACGTCAACACACCTGTGAATCAAATTACCTGTAATACTATAAATTTGACCTATGAAATGAATAAATGAATATCTTATACATTACTGAAAGTCTTTGGGAATATTCACTGTCCTTTTCTCTGCATAATATAAGAAAATTATATTCGATTCTGTGGAAAAATCAGGTTTGGGTGATTCAGTGAGGGAGGAAATCGATGGAAGAAGTCATTGGAATTAATAAGGGGATGTGGGTGTGGGGATGGGGGTGGGAGTGTGGGGATGTGGGTGGGAGTGTGGGGATGTGGGTGGGAGTGTGGATGTGGGTATGAGGGTGGGAGTGTGGGTGTGGATGTGGGGGTGGGGTTCACACACTCACCTCCTCAGACCAACAACTTGTACAATCATAGACAGATCGGTCTTATTGAATACTATGTCAATTTAGGATCAGGACAAGATTATGTGAATTACGGATCTGTTTATTTACCTTATTAAGCTTAATCTTACTTAACTTAATCTAACCAGACCCGACCTAACATAACCTAACCTTAACTCACCATACTTAACGTAACCTAACCCGAGCTAACACTACCTAACCTAACTTTATTTAAACACCTGCATATGGCCATCAACTCAAATCTAATACCATTAAATAACTTTCAGCACTACACCTTTAATTAGTGCCTTACCTGGTGACCTTCTCAATGAGGGGGTTGTAGGAACGATTGAGGCAGGACTTCTTGTGTGTGAAAGTGTCGAAGGAATATTTGCCGTGGTAAGCGCCCATCCCACTGTTGCCCACACCTCCGAAGGGCATCGTGCTACCTGCGGGCGAGGGTAGTTTTAGTTGGGCGTAGGTGAGGTTAAGTGGGCGTAGGTGAGGTTGAGAGAGAGAGAATACGAAAAAATTAAGGCATGATATACAAAATCCCACAAAAGAACAATCAACCCATATATATTCGTTCAGGTTTATGAGACAAAAAACAATAAAAGAACGAAGCTTAATGAAACATAAAACGAAATAAATTGAAAATACATAATACAATAATATGCAAAAATGAAGTATAAGTAAAATTAAAAAAAAAAAATTATTATAGGTTAGGTCAGACAAGAGAGTTAGTGGAAAGACTTACAGTATTTGATCTCTCTCTCTCTCTCTCTTACTTTCTTTCGCTATAAGTCTTCTTTCACTCCCCTTCCCTATCCCATTTGTCTTTTCATCACCTATCCCTTCCTTATTCCTTTCCTCTCCTCCTTTCCTTCTTTCCCTGCCTCTCTCCCCTCTTCCCTCCCCTCCTCCTCATCTCTCCCTCATAAAAATTTACACGCATCATTTTTGTCCCCCTAACAAAAATACTCACAAGTCTTGGGCCGTGAAACTAAAAATACCACTTTTGTCCCATGTCTTTGAGATGGCTCGCGTCATCTTCTCTCCCCTGGCTCTATTTTGCTCTAATTACGTAGAGAGAGAGAGAGAGAGAGAGGGGGAGACCACACTACCACCTTACGCCACATTATACTACAGCCGATCGCACAACAACCGATCAATTCTTAGCCCCGATCTCGCCTCAGTCCATTACACAGGCAGCCGATCGCGACACAAAGGGACCCACGCAATTAGGGATATTTGATAAAGGAGTCGCTGTGGGCACATTAATGGCGCGGCGGGTGATGGCGTCGAGGTAATTAAGTTTCCAAGTCCCACCTGGAGAACAGAAAGGCCAGGTCAGCCCTAATTATGGTCGTAATTTCACATGAATGTTTTTATTTTCTTGTGGAATCGTTTTGGAAAGTTAAGTTCTCGTTACGATTTATCTTAAGTTGATTGTAGAGTTGAGTCTTTGGTTAAATTCTTTGGCTGGGGGAGGAGGGTTGAGGGGTTGAGGTGGGGTTGAGGGTGAGGGAGGGTTGAGGTGGGGGTTGAGGGGGTGAGGGGTGTTGGGGTATCATTTATTGCTCTGATGGGAAGAAGCATTTAGGGAATATAACTTCTTGAGGCCATAACTTTAGTGTTCAAGAGGAGGGAGGGGAGAAGAGGAGGGAGGGGAGAAGAGGAGGGAGGGGAGAAGAAGAGGGAGGGAAGAAGAGGAGGGAGGGAAGTATTTGGGATATAATTTACTCTTGGTTTATTTTATTGCTCAAGAGAGATGGTTTATAATTTTCTCGGGGTTTATTTTTATTGCTCTTAAGTTGAAGTACAGTATTTAGGAGGAAAAACGGATGTGTTTGTTTTAATTGCTCTGGGTAGACAGGCGCATTTGGCAAATAATTCAACCCAGAGTTTATTTTCATTCCTCTGGCCAGAAGCATTTGGAATATAACACCTACAGACTCTACTTGATGTTCTTGTGTTATTACAGCGCTTCAACAACTAAGGTCTTTAATCCCATAATATAATAATTACACTAATCCATCAGCAATTACAAATTATATAACAAACAACACACTTCATTATTTTTAAGTGTGTTTACGGCGCATTTGGTAGATAATTCCACCTGTGTGTTGTGATGGTATGAGGGGGAGGGAGAATACCTCATTTTATATTTGTAAATTGACTGATAGAAGCATTACGTACAGTGTTGAGAGAGAGAGAGAGAGAGAGAGAGAGAGAGAGAGAGAGAGAGAGAGAGGTCCCGTGGCTCTGGGTGAAGCAGCTTTAAATAGATTCAGATTCTGCCTAGACATTAATTAGTTCCGGTGGAGGCATAGAAAAAAAAATTGAAGGTCTCACTTTTAACCAATATCATGTAAATTAATTTAATTTTTAACCCACGATAATAGACAATCCAAAAAGACCCCACCAAATCAAGTCCCACCAAAAGACCCCTTAAAATAAGATCCCCAAAAGACCCCAACAAAACAAAACTACAAAACAAGACCAAAAAGAAAAGATTGTGGGAAAGGTTAAGAAAAAAACAGGTTCACTTTTTTTTTTGTAAATTGAGGGGAATTTATTGGCCTATTTTTGATCGAGGAGAGAGAGAGAGAGAGAGAGAGAGAGAGAGAGAGACGGAGAGAGAGGGAGGGACGGAGAGAGAGGGGGTGAGGGGGGAGGTAGCTGCACCCTCTATCACTGATTACTCCTGACGGTGCAGGTTCATCACTACAAGAATATTCCATGGCTGAGTTCCTCCTCCCTCGTGTGTGTGGCCCAACCCAGGAGGTGGAGCAACCTAGGTGGTACAACACAGATGGAACAGCACAGGTGGAACAGTACAGGTGGAACAGTGCAGAAGGAACAGGAAGCAGGTAGGTAAAGCAGTGCAGGTGGAATGGGAACCAGCCGGATGGAACAGGAACAAGATTGGAGGAACGGGGCAAGTGGAACAGAGTCGGTGGCACAGGAACAAGCCAGGTGGAACAGGAACAAGCCAGGTGGAACACTACAGTGAGGGTCCTCCCCATCCTCACTGCTCCAGTATAAAACTCACTCACTAACACAGGGGATCTGGCCACCCAAATTTTAGGGACAGGCAGCGCATGACACCACCTGCCACGGTGTCATACGGTGTCATCTGTACCTCTAATATATAGTGTCATACGGTGTCATATTTACCTCTTCCTGCTTTACTGTGTAATCTGTACCGCTTATTCATTTACTGTGCCATCTAGTGTCACCTGGTGTCATCTAGTGTCACCTGGTGTCATCTAGTGTCATCTAGTGTCACCTGGTGTCACCTGGTGTCATCTAGTGTCACCTGGTGTCATCTAGTGTCATCTAGTGTCACCTAGTGTCACCTGGTGTCATCTAGTGTCACCTGGTGTCATCTAGTGTCACCTGGTGTCATCTCTGCAGTAGGCACCTGCGTCATCTAGTATCTGGTGTCATCTAGTGTCTAGTGTCCTGGTGTCACCTGGTGTCATGTCAAGTGTCATCTGGTGTGTCACTGGTGTCATCTACCTGGTGTCACCTGGTGTCATCTAGTGTCACCTGGTGTCATCTAGTGTCACCTGGTGTCATCTGTAGCCTCACCTGGTGTCATAGTGTCATCTTGTCACCTAGTGTCCATCTAGTGTCACCCTGGTGTCATCTAGTGTCACCTGGTGTCATCTAGTGTCACCTGGTGTCATCTAGTGTCACCTGGTGTCATCTAGTGTCACCTGGTGTCATCTAGTGTCACCTGGTGTCATCTGTGCCACTTATTGTCTATAACTCATTAATTTACGGGGTCATATTTCTGTAGTTATTGGCTTCAGTTTATACACGTCTGTCTGTCTGTCTGTCTGTCTGTCTTTCTCTTTCTGTCTGTCTGTCTGTCTGTCTGTCTGTCTTTCTCTGTCTGTCTGTCTGTCTGTCTGTCTCTTTCCTATTTAATATTTTCCTGTAATCACGATGTCGGCCTCTTAAAACCCTTTGAGTACGATGTATTAATCCCTTGAGTACGATATCCTCCTGAGTACAGTGACTTAGCTCATTGAGTAAAATATCTTAAGCCCTTGAGTACGATGACCTAATCCCTCGAGTACAAAGACTTAATCCATTAGATTAAGTTAGATTAATGTTACGATGGTTGGATTATAAGTTAAGCTAAGCTAGTTTAGGCAAAGAGATTAGGTGTCTAATCTTCAGATAATCCAAAAAAAAATGATTAAACATTTCACGAGAGGCTGTCGCTTAACACAGACAGACAGACAGACAGACAGACAGACAGACACACACACACACACACACACACACACACACACACACACACACACACACACACACACACACACACACACACACGAGCTTAACATAATTACTGTTCATACTCTCCCCTTCTCTCGGTAACCTAAGACAAATTAAGTCAACCATTTTTTTCCTCTCACACTACATAAGACAAATGGTTTTCACACGGAGATAATGAGTGGGAGACAGGGAGAGAACACTAAATATGTTTGAACAGGATCTTTCTCTGTCTCTTCTGTCTGCCTGTCTTACTTTCTGTTTCTCTGTCTGTCTATGTCTCTCTGTCTCTGCCTGTCTGGTTTGAGATAATCACACATACGACATGACCCGCGTGTTTACAAAGTCCCTTGATTGTTTATAAAGTCACCTGATGCTGTGTTCTGTGTCGAGTCTGCTGTGGCATAGACCAGGAGGAGTCGAGCGTGATGGTGTCTCTATAACCTAACCTAACCTAATATAATCTTAAGTTGAAACAAGCCGAGGTGTCTAATGTTCAGGTGATCCAACTTAAGAACAAATATATTTACCTGTGAATCTGTAATGCATAACATTCCCCGTCTTAAAGGAACCCCCCCCCCTCCTTACCTTACCTCACTTTCCCCTCACACCATCGTAAATCAGCCACCTCACCTTCCTCCCTTCTGATCAAACCCTAGTAATTAACTCATCAATATAAACACAGGTAAAGTCGTATGCAAATTTACCTGTAGAAATTGAACTCAGGTATAAACTAAATAATCAATCGGTTTTAGTATCTTTTCATGTTATTTTTTTATTTTAATCTTCGTTACAGAAATTAACAAACATGCTGACTTTGTATTTATTTTTATTATTTTATTATTATACATATTTTTTTGTTTTGCCTTTTAGGAGTTAAATATAAAGTGAGATTATTTTATTTTCGTGAAGGTTATGAGTTGTGAGAAATGCCTGTCGTAGTTAGAATAGGGAGAAATGCTTGACGTAGTTAGAATGGGAAGAAATACTTGACGTAGTTAGAATGGGAAGAAATGCTTGACGTAGTTAGAATAGGGAGAAATGCTTGACGTAGAAATGCTTGACGTAGTTAGAATGGGAAGAAATGCTTGACGTAGTTAGAATGGGGAGAAATGCTTGTCGTAGTTAGAATGGGGAGAAATGCTTGACGTAGTTAGAATGGGGAGAAATGCTTGACGTAGTTAGAATGGGGAGAAATGCTTGACGTGGTTTCAGTCATAACTCATGAGACGCTACCAGCACGTGTGTTTTTATGAGCCATAAGAGTTCATTACGTGGTTTGTTATGAGACATACATTTGCGTGGTTAGTTTAGGGGAAGTTTAAGCTGTGAGAGTTAGGTGTGTGCAAGTGTGGAGGGGAGGGAGGTGGGGAGGGAAGGAGGGAGGGAAAGAGTGAGGGAAGAAGAAGAAGAGAGGGAGGGAAGGTAAGACGGGAAAGAGGAAGGAAGGAGGGAACAAAGGAGGGAAGGGGGGAACAAAGGATGAAATAAGGTAGTGAGGAAGACTGAGGAAGGAGGGAAGGGAGAGGGAGGGAGGCGGAAGGAAGATAGTCGGAAAAAAGGGGGAGAAAAAAGTAGGGAGGAAGACATAGGAGGATGGATATAAGGAGAGAGGAAGGAAGGAAAGAGGGAGGAAGGAGGAGGTAGGAAGGAGGAGGGAGAAAAAGAGGAAGGGAGGGAGGAAGGGAAGGAGGGAAGGAGGGAGGGAGGGAGAGAGTTTGGATTTTTACTCTAAACTTTGGCAGGATTCTTCTCCCTTATTGAATGAAAGTTCTATCTCGATTTCTTTCAATTTTCTTTCTTTTACCCTTCCTTTTACACACACATTTACCTTCATTCCTTCAACACATTCTCTCGTCTCTCCCCCTTCCCCCTCCTCGTCCACCATCCTTTTCGTCCCCCACTTCCCTTCTCCTACCCAACCTCCCCCTCCTCCCCAACCTCCCCCCTCAAGTCCCCAACCTTCCCTACCTCCTCCCCAACCTCCCCCTCAAGTCCCTAACCTCCCCTCAAGTCCCTAACCTCCCCACCTCAAGTCCCTAACCTCCCCCTCTTCCCCAACCTCCCCTCAAGTCCCTAACATCCCCCCCTCCTCCCACCTCATAACAAAAAACAAATTAAAAACACAACACTATAATCCTGTTTTAGAGAGGACGGGATGCGGGTACTCACTGGCGGCGTGGAAGAGGGTGTCGTTGATGGTGACGCCCCCACACCGTACCTGGCGGAGGAACAGCTCCTTCACCGCCTCCTTCTTGCTGAATACATACAACGCCAGGGGCTTCTCTCTACAGCAGGAGGGAGAGAGAAGGCGTTGGTAACTCATTATATCTGGTTATTCGTCTGTCTCTCTGTACGTCTGTCCGTCGTTTATTTACCTACCTATCAATCTGTCTGTCTGTCTGTCTGTCTGTCTCACACACAAAGAAAAATTGCACCTAACCCTCAATGCTTTTACAACATTCCTAAACTTTGTACATCAGTTGTGGGAGAAAAAAAAATCGATTTTTTTTTCTACCTTTTATGAAAAACTGTTGTTCTTATGCTGTGTTGAGTTGGTTTGTTATTAATGATTTTTTTATTTATTTTTCTTATTTTTTTCCAATTATTTTTGGTTTTATCTTTGTTTTTCATTATTTTGATTTTGTGTTAATTTTAATTTTTCGTTGTTATATTTTAAATTACTTTACGTTTATACTAATCCTTAATGACCTTGTATCTACCTGTGGTCCTTAATGACATCATATCTACCTGTATACATAGTCTGTTCTCTCCAGTCTTATAACCGAATCTGATTGGCTAGCAGACGGATACAAATTCCTCTCCTCCCTTGTTTAGTCTTTCTTTTTTTGTTTTTCTTACAATCTTTCTTACGTAAGGCCATTTAGCATGAGACATTTAAACGAGCCAATAAAAACGATCCATTTAAAAGGCCAATAAAAACGATCCATTAAAAAACCACACATTTAAAACGTGGCATTTTAATAAGCCATTTAAAACGGGCCATTTAAACGGGTCATTAAGGACGGGCCATTTAACCCGCATCATCCTTAACCACGTAATAAGGAGAATTGGTCTCATGAGTCAACTCTTCTCTTTAAAGTCTATTTCTGGTTTAAAATTCCCCTTGTGGTGTTCACTTGTGCTGGAGAGTTACGTCACCTACTAATTTTGTTTTAAGTTTTGTCACGGGAGAGAGGAAGGAAGGAAGGAAGGAAGGAAGGAAGGAAGGAAGGAAGGAAGGAATTAGTAACAAAATATGAAAAAAAAGATGAATAAAAAAAATATAAAAAATAATGACAAGAACAAAAATGTGGTAGAGAGAGAGAGAGAGAGAGAGAGAGAGAGAGAGAGACCGTCATTTCCTCTATTACACACCATTAGGGAAACCCACTAAAGAAAGAAAGAAAGATACACACACACACACACACACACACACACACACACACACACACACACACACACACACACTCACGCACACACACACACACACTAATCATAAATTCACACACACAAAAGACATTCAGGGCAATAGATGCCTCCATTTTCTTTAAGTTACCCTTTAAATAATAACTTTATAGGATCCGTTTTCATTGTTGTTTTTTAAGATAAGAAGTCCATGTTGACCTTTGTGACGTTACTGATTAAAACGTTATCTGTGTGAGGGAGATTTTGTCTGTTTTGTTTTGTTTATACGTTTCGTCTGTTTTTATACTTCTTCTCTATTTCTCTGTCTGTCTCTTTCTTTCACTTTGCTTCTCCCTATTTGGTATTTTTGTCTCGATCTATATTTCTTTTTCTTATCTAGTTTCTCGTTCTATCATCCTCTCTCCTTCCCCCTCACCCTTTCCTCTAAGTCTCTCTCTCTTTCTCTCTCTCTCTCTCTCTTCTTCCCCCCTCCCGCTTTCCCTCTCAATCTTCATCCTCCTCTCTCTCCCCCTCCTTCCATCCCCTTTCCCCCTTCTTCCCTACTCTCTCCTTCCTTCCTTCCTTCCCCCTCTCTCTCCTTCCCTCCCTCACCTTTCACCCTTCTTCTCTACTCTCTCCTTCCTTCCTTCCTTCCTTCATTCCCCCTCTCTCACCCTCCCTCTCTTCCTTCTCACCTCTACCACTCAATAATCCAGCCACTATTGCTAAGGAAATACAAACAAACCTCACACAACCTTACCTCTTATTAATGAATTTGATGGCATCCACGTGCGTCTCTACGTTGATGATGGGAAGAATAGGACCAAAGATCTCCTCAGTCATCACCTTACTGTTCTCAGGTACATCTACTAAGAGTGTCGGTTCCACCCAGCGATCACTCAAGTCGAAGCGGCCCCCAACCACCACCTTGCCGCACTCCAGGTAACTCGCCAAGCGTCTGTAAGGGTGAGGACTTTTTAATACGGAATGACTTAAGAGTAGAGTAGAGTAGAACAGAGTGGAACGGAGTAGAGTAGAGTAGTGCAGAGTAGAGTAGAACAGAGTAGACAGGAGTAGAGATATAAGACAGAGATAAGAGAACAAATATCAATCACACACTCCAGGTTGCTAATGATAACAACACACTCACTCAACATGTCGCTCGGCTACTATCCTTGCCAGATGAGGGGAGTCCTTGGGGTCATGTCCGTACCACTCCCGTAGGACTTCCTTCACCTTCTTGATGATGGGGTCCTGCAGGGCCTTGGAACACAGCAGGTAGTCAGGGGCGATGCAGGTCTGACCAAGGTTCTGCATCTTCCCCCACAAGACACGACGTACAGCAAGGTTTAAATCCACACTGTTGTCGATGTAACATGGGCTGTGGGAAGAGAGGGTGTTATGTGGGTAGAGGAGGGTGTTATGTGGGTAGGAGGGGTGTTATGTGGGTAGGAGGGGTGTTATGTGGGTTGGGTAGGGTGTTATGTGGGTTGGAGGGGTGTTATGTGGGTAGGGGAGGATGTTATGTGGGTAGGGGTGGATGTTATGTGGGTAGGAGACAAGATACATTTTCATTCACATCGTCATCCATAACAACACCATCCACTCTGCCACCCACTCATGCCATCCACTCTGCCACCCACTCATGCCATCCACTCTGCCACCCACTCATGCCATCCACTCTGCCACCCACCCTTGCCTCCCCATCTACACTGCCACCCACCTCTTGCCGCCCAGTTCTAGTGTGGTGGGCGTGAGGAACTTGTTGGCCGCCTCTCTGATGATCTTCCCTACAGTGGCGGAACCCGTGTAGAAGATGTAGTCGAACCTCTCCTGTAGTAGCTGCGTCGTCTCTTCCACTCCTCCGCACACCACCTGAACACACTCCTGCAGGAGGGGGGGGGTGGTGTCAAGGGTCAGGTCAGAGGTCATTGGTGCTTCGTAATGTTGATCTATCTATCTGTCTATTTTTGTCTATGAAATATATCCCCGTAGCCACACAGTCCCCCCCTCCAGGAGACACAACATTCATACTTCCCAAGCTCACCTATGCCTCCCCCACCTGGTCTCTTCACTCCCTAAATGCCACACAACGTAAACACCTGAAAAAGTGCAAAGGGCATGCAAGTTATTCTCTCCTTCCTACTCCACATATCCAGAAAGCGCTCAACACACTTCCAGCCGCTTTCGACTCTCACTGACCATCACGACCTCATCACCAAATTTGGTAAGTTTCTACCATCCTCGACACCGGCTCCTACTACCACCTGAGATCTAGTCCGAGAAATTGCTGTTCGGCCACCACAACCGCATCCAGCCCATACGTGCACGAACTGATTAGCCATAAGAACAGCCCAGTTCAACCATTGTAAAAATTATCAACTGCCAATAAACCAGTGTATAGAACTAAACAAATAATGTAAATGAAATACTGTGGCAACATTCAGTGCCGCAATATCCTGACAACGGGGGTTAGTGTATGACCGCTTTGTAAACGCTTCTCTGTAATCCTTTTGCGCTACGCTACAGGATGAGTGTAAGTGCACAATAAAATATCCGCTGTAAACGCGCAAAATCTCTCTCTCTCTCTCTCTCTCTCTCTCTCTCTCCACCCTTATTTCTTTCTCCATCCTTCCTCTTCCTCCCCTTCCTCTCTTCTTCCTTTTTCTCTCCGCCCCTCTGCCTCCACCCTTCCCTTCTCCCTTTCCGTAACCTCTTCCTCCAACTTTCTCATTTTCCGCCCCCGTTACCCTCTCCTTCTCTGTTCCCTCTTGTTTCACCCTTCCCCTTTCTCTCTCCCCTTCCCTTCTCCCTCCCTCCATGGTCATCCCAGGGGAGGTGAGAGAAGGAATATTGCCAGGAGAGAGATAGAGAGAGAGAGAGAGAGAGAGAGAGAGAGAGAGAGAGAGAGAGAGAGGGAGGTAGGTGAGCCATCTCCCGTTGAATACAGTCATTACGGCACCTCAGATTGCCAGGCAGGGTAGCCGGGTCCTCCCAGCCTCTGCCTGAATTATATTGCAATTTTTTCAGCCCAGATAGTAAACCCGATGCAGTCTGGCCCTATGAAATATTTTAGTGTGTGTGTGTATGTGTATGTGTGTGTGTGTGTGTGTGTGTGTGTGGTTGTGTATATGTGGTTGTGTGTGTGTGTATATGTGGGTGTGTGTGTGTGTGTGTGTGTGTGGTTGTGTGTGTGTGGTTGTGTATATGTGGTTGTGTGTGTGTGTGTGTGTGTGGTTGTGTATATGTGGTTGTGTATATGTGATTTTGTGTGTGTGTGTGTGTGTGTATGTGTGGTTGTGTATATGGGGTGTGTGTGTGTGTGTGTGTGTGTGTGTGTGTGTGTGTGAAATTTTGACTCATGTATCGTATGTTTCTAGTTGAATTTTATGCTGTATTTATGTAATCTGAAATTGTTTCATATATATATATATATATATATATATATATATATATATATATATATATATATATATATATATATATATATATATATATATATATATATATGCAATTAAATCACTGTAGGTGCGCGTGATCTAGGTTATGAAATTCCACGTGTTGAGTTTTGTCGTAGTCTGAATTTTTTCTAAATATTTTGACGCATGAAATTTGGTTTAGTGTTTTGTTGTATGTTCTAAATATTTGTGGAACTGTAATGTTTTGTATTTTTGTATTTCTTGTTTTTTGATAGTTACATTTATGAACATACAGACATACTCTTTTATAAGCTTTATTTGTATTATTTTATTATAAACCCCAAATCACAATTATTATTTATTTTTTATTTTTTCTTAACCTGTGAGTCAGTTGCCCAAATTTACCTGTGTGTTATTGTCTGATAGTTGACTTTATATTATTAGAACAAATGTAACTTGGATCACCTCAAGATTAGCCCCCAAGGTTATTTTACCTGGTGATTAAATGTTCTAATGTTATCAGCGGTTAGGTTAGGTTAAGTAAAATAAGCTGGGGTGTCTAATCTTCACGTGATACCTTGACTTTATCATTTCTGTTAATCTTTCAGGTCACACACACACACACACACACACACACACACACACACACACACACACACGTACACCCACACACACACACACGGGTGGGGAGCACGGGGGGAGGTTGTGTACTTCACCCCATCCACCACAACCCTCGTAGTAATTGCAATTTTCTAAGCAATTAGCAAGTCCTCCTTCCCCTCTAGTGCCATGCTGTTTTATCTCTCCTCACCCCTCTAGTGCCATGTGCCGCACCAACCTCCCCTCCCCCTCCCTCTTTAGTGCCAAGAGCCCCACTCTGCCACCCAGCGCCATAACCCCATCCTACCCCACAGTGCCATTTTGTCCCCCTTCGTCTGGTGTTGCATGATCCTTTGTTGCATCGTGACCTTGATGACCTCACGGGTAACGCCAGGAAGTACGATAACCTAATGTCACGCGCGCACATACACACACACACACATTGTCTGTCTGTCTTGGAATTAACTCTTGACAGTTTACTCACCTTGTCTAGGTAAAGTGGAATAAGCTTGGCCAGGGCGGAGGCTGTAGCAGGCGACACCTCAGAGGGCTTCAGGATCACCGCGTTACCTGCCGCTAGCGCACCTGATGAAGACAATTTCCTGGCTGCTCTCACTGGGTTCACACTATTATTCTTTACTCACCATCGTCTGACAGTTATCCTGGCGCTATTTCCGGATATTTTACTCATTAGTTTTATTTTGTATCACTGAAATCTGCCACAGAAAGGAGAGTCACCACCTGGTCATTACCTAGTCACTACCTGTTCATTACCTGGTCACCACCTGTTCATTACCTGGTCACTCCCTGGTCTCTACCTGCTACAGGAGGCTTAGAGTCACAGTGGACATCCCCTCGCCAGCGTCCCTCAAGACCTCGCCCTAACACTTAAGAATTCTACGAGGGAAGCTCATTAAAACTACGAGTCACTACCTGCAGGTGTTATGAGAGAGAGGGTTGGTGGGCGGCCCTCTCACCACCAAGACCCTGCTGTAAGTCTTAGGGTGATGAGAGAGAGGGGTGGTGGGCGGCCCTCTCACCACCAAGACCCTGCTGTAAGTCTTAGGGTGATGAGAGAGAGGGGTGGTGGGCGGCCCTCTCACCACCAAGACCCTGCTGTAAGATTTGAGGAATTCACCCATAGACTACACATACCTACTTATGAGGCGAGAAGTAATTTCCTGCACCAGCATCAAGAAATTCAAACTCAGACTTTTCTAAGAACTTAGTAAGTCTGGCCAAACTCTGAAGATTGTTGAAGACATAATTTGACACACACACACACACACACACACACACACACACACACACACACACACACACACACACACACACACTGCTGCTGCTACTGTACAAGATGTGGAATGTGACAGAGAAGAAGTCAAGTCAGACTAAATATTGAATCACGTGAACTCATCTGATGATTTAACATCCTACGTTAATCTAACCTAACCTAAAGCTAACCTAACATAATACTAACCTAACTAAACCTAACCTGAGCTAACCTAATACTAACATAACTTATCTAACCTAACCTAATCTAAAACTAATTTAACACTAACCTAATGTAACGCCCAGGTAGCGTTAGGGTGCTCAATCATCAGGTGAAACAAGCTGGGAGGGCTAATCTTCATATGATCCAAAAATATATACATTGAGTCACTGATCACCTTGTGACTACAGAGCGACCGTCAGCCAGGCTCTGAGTGGTTGAAAAGTATCTGCCATGTTTCTAAAGTTGCCACACAAATTTGATATTGGTTACTAAATCGGATCAAACCCACTAAGAGTCTTCAAGTTAGGTTTGGTTAGATCAGGATTAGTTTGGTAAGGTTAGGTTAGGTTAGTCACTTAAGGTTCATACAATACATGCTATGTATCGGCTGTAGAACCATGACGTCAGACGCCTCAATCACTCACACCTGGGCTGACGGCCTTTCACTAACCTCCCGTCTCTAATTGGCTCCTACACCTGAGAGTTCGCATCACTACCTGTCACAGGGAGAAGAGCCAGCTGAAGGGGGTAATTCCATGCCCCCATCACCAGCACCACGCCGTAGGGATCGTTGTAGATGTAGCTCCTGTCGAAGGGGATCGCCGAAGACACCATCTCTGTCTTGACCCATTTGTCCAAGCGGTTTAAGGTGTAGGTGATGTCCATAATTACAGCGTTCACCTCCAACATCATGGCCTCTAACTGTGGCTGTGGACGGGAGGTGAGACGTGAGGTGAGGGGGGGAGGGTGATGACGAGGTAGGTGAGTTAGAGGTGGAGAGGATGAAGAGGAGGAGGAGAGGAAGAGAAGGATAGTACAGGATGGATAGCAAAAGCAGATAAAGGGGTGGAGGATGAATGATTGAAGGAAGAGAATAGTGGAGGAGGAGCAGCCCAGTTGGAGGAGAACATAATTTAACTCACATACTCGACCACTTACCTTCCTCAAGTCGATCTTAAGCGCGTCGAGGAAAGTGTCCTTGTGGTCGAGGCACATCTGTCGGAGCTGCTGTAGTTGTCGACGCCGATGCTCCACCGACAGTGTACGCCCTCCGTTGTATGCCGACCGGGCCCTCTTCACCACCTGAAACAAGCAACATCTGGTTACAACTCATTTACAAATTCCCATGCTCACCTGTTGCCTGTCAGCTAGCTAATGAGGTTCTCCAGGTAACCTATGTTAGTTAGGTGGTAGGAATATGAGGTTCTGTGTTATATGGGAAAGCGAGAGAGAGAGAGAGAGAGAGAGAGAGAGAGAGAGAGAGAGAGAGAGATGTCTTGACTTCAATATAAGATTAGATTAATGTAAATAACAAAAATGGCTTCAGCTTCAATCCCAACACCGCTTTTTAAAACACAGCTTCAACAAAGAACCTATTTTATGGAGAGAATTAATTACCTACACCTCCGGACGGTACACCTGCGCCAATTAGGGAACTTGAGAAAACACGTTGTCGCTCAGGTATGCCTCTGCTAGTTCGCTCAGCCGATGTTCCATAACGGGGAAAACTGGAGTCCACAGAAACCTTTTACATGGTGAGAGGAGAATGAGAGGAGGTGGGGGAGAGAAGGAAGAAGAGAGGAGGAGGGAGAGAAGGCGGATGAAGGTACAGAGAAAAAAGAGGAAGGTGAGGGCAAGGAGGAGGAGGATGAAGGCAGAGAAGGGAGAAGGGAGCAGGAGGAGAAGGAAGATGAAGGCAAAGAGAGGAGAAGAGAAATAGGAAGAAAGTAGAAGGCGAGGGAAGAAGGGTATAGTTTACAGGTGGCTCTCAAACACGACTATTAATTCAAGTTTATATAAAAGTGCAGGTAATGTAGATGTATGGTGATGAGGGAGAGGAGCCTCTCTCTCTCTCTCTCTCTCTCTCTCTCTCTCTCTCTCACCAATACCACCAACGCTAGGAATTAATTTTGCAGAGTAGAAGCGTTGGCCCTCACCCACTCTCCCTACCTCTTCTCCCTTCCCTCTCATCCTTTCCCTCCTCTCCCTTCCTTATCACCCTTTCCCTCCTCTCCCTTCCCTCTCTCTCCCTACCTCCCGCTCCCTCCCCAGCACTATCGCCTTAGGCTAGTATAGACCGCCTATGAATTATTACAATTCCACAATTGACGGTCCACTAGTTTCCCTAATCATGTTACTGCCCCCCTCTGTCTGTCTGTCTGTGTCTGTCTGTCTCATTTTGTATCTTCCTTTCTCTGTCTTCTTCACTATCATCTTCCTTCCTCTAAGTATTTCTGTCTATCTCACGTCTATTATGTGTGTGTGTGTGTGTGTGTGTGTGTGTGTGTGTGTGTGTGTGTGTGTGTGTGTGTGTGTTCAGGAAGGACTAGTCATCATCCTCGTGACCACCAGCATTAACCTTCAAACATCAACATTTTAAGAATCATTATCACCATGGCCATCATCACTACCACTCCTACTACCACCATCAATACCATAACTACTACCACCACAACAACCACAACTACCACGACAAGGGGAGGAGGATGAGGGGTAAAGGAGGAGAAGGAGGAGGATGCGTGGAAGAGGAAGAAGGGGAGGAGGAGGAGGAGGAGGAGGAGGGAGGGGGAGGAGGAGGAGGATGAGATGGAAGAAACGACACACTCACCAACACGAATTGAATCGAGTAAAAATTTCATCTCATCCAAACAAGCAGACGAGCCAAGGCGACGGCGGCTCTTACTACTCCAAGATAACATAGTTTACCCCCGAAGCGAAAATATTGTTCATTACAGTCACACAAAATACATAACATACTCGTTTAGGTGATAACTCTGGATCTTACACCAATTACAGCCAAGATGAATACTCGTAAAGGTTGGAAGTTAAATTTTGTAGCTAAAAAATTACATAACAGAACCTAAAATCATTGATATTTGTTAATATTTCACAAGAGTTTAACCAAGTTCTTCGTGCGTAACTCTGTCCCGTTTTCTTTGGATGGGAAAACTTATCATCACTTAAAATACAAAATACATAAACGATAATAAGAATTTTAAATCATGCGCCCCAAAAAGACGATAGATTTGATTCTTACAAAAAAACAAATAATTGAAGCACTGAACACTCCTAGTCTTTCCGGGTAAAAAGTAATATTTTAGAGGTACGTTTCGTGGACAGCTTTCAAGCCCGTTTTCTTTGACTGGTAAAAAAAAACCGGATACGTAGAGGATACTTGGCAATATTTCTCTCGTCTTGGAATTGAATTTTTCGCCTACAAGTCGTCTGGCAGCGAGGATTAAGGAACGGAAAAGTGACAGCAAGGAAATTATATGACCTGCGCCTTAGTGTGAGTTGAGGGAGGGGGTAGTGTGAGGGGAGGGGGGGGTAGTGTGAAGTGAGGGGGGGAGTAGTGTGAGGTGAGGAGGGAGGGGGATACTGTGAGGTGAGGAAATGCATGCTCATGTCTATTTTCTTACACACACACACACACACACACACACACCAAGCACACACACACACACACACGCACACACGTCATGCAACCTCGCTGCCCTTGCCGCTGGGGATCATATTTAACGAAGCAATTTGTCGTTCATGGTCCTTGGGTACAGTTTAGGGTGAGTAGCGATGGGGGGGTGATGTGGAAGAAGGATGGGGAGTAATGGGGAGGTGGGGAAGGAAGGACAATATTTGAGAGTAGTTTAGATACGTCCTTAATAGGTGTGTTGGGTGTTATGGGTCATGGGTCCTGAGTCATGGGTCGTGGGTTATGGGTCGGTAGTCACGGGTCGTGCGTCATGGGTCGTGAGTATGGGTCGTGTGGGTCGAGGGTCGTAGGTAAATAAATGTGACAAATTCTGAAGATTTAACAATTCTGGAAGTCGAACGAGTTGAAATTTATGGAATTTTACGACGTTTAAATTCTCGGAGATTTACATTACTGAACAGTTGTGAAATACCATGAGTTATATATTCTGGGGTTGTGAAATTATTCTTTGGAAAATAATAAGTCTGTAGGATTCTGGGGGTTGTAATAACAGAGTTTGAAAAAAATATTGTTTGTAATACACTATGGTCTTAATATATTGGGATTGTAATATTCCTGTGGTTGTGAAATAGTCTGGTTGTAAAACGTGTGACGTCTCAACATAACACAGTCATAAAATTCACGAGTTGGAAACTTCTGGGGATATTTGGTGTCTTGAGAGAGAGAGAGAGAGAGAGAGAGAGAGACGAGCCACACACACACACACACACAATAATGAACTTTACATTTACCAATAAAAAAATTAACCCAATCACTTGTCCATAATTACGTCCGACAATATAATTACTACTAACATTAATCAGAGCTTCACCACAGCCCCATTGTGGTGTAAATACTCCATACAGATTATGAAAAATAATTAATTGTAATAATATTAGTATCAATTTGCAATGTACGTACAGTGATGCTTAACTTAGGTGATGGTGATGATGGTGATGACGGTGGTGGTGGTGTGGAAGGGAGGTGTGGTGGTGGGGGTGTGGTAGGGGGTGATGGTAGTGGTGTGATAGGAGGTGGTGTGGTTGGGTGAGTAGTGGTAGCTGTGTGGGGTGTGGTAAGGGGTGGTGGTGTGGTAGAGGGTGATAGTAGTGGTGGTGGTGTGGTAGAGGGTGATGGTAGTGGTGGTGGTGTGGGTGTTGGTAGTGGTGTTGTGGGTGGTGGTAGTGGTGGTGGTGTGGGTGTGGTAGTATGAATGGTGATGGATATTTTTTTATTTATTTATCTTCACTCTTCTGGCCAAACCATTTGTTCCTTACTGTGTGCAAATTTCAGCTTCCGAGTTCAATAAGTGAGGTAAGAATCTGGCCCGGACACACACGGGGGGTATACAATAATAATGATGATACAACTACGACAACAACGGCGACTACTACCATAACAACTATCAGATCTCGATAAGTAAAGGCAAAACACACATCACGGTTACAATACACAAACGGATAAACGACTGTGTGTGTGTGTGTGTGTGTGTGTGTGTGTGTGTGTGTGTGTGTGTGTGTGTGTGTGTGTGTGTGTGTATGGGTGTGTGTGTGTGTGTGTGTGTGTGTGTGTGTGTATGGGTGTATGGGTGGGTGTGTGTGTGTGGGGGTGTGTGTGGGTGTGTGTGTGGGGGGTGTGTGTGTGGGGGTTGTGTGTGGGTGGGTGGGTGTGTGTGTAGGTGGGTGTAGGTCGGTGTGTGTGTGTGTGTGTGAGGAACCTATCATTTAATATCATTCATATCTTTACCTACTGAAGTGTGTTGACAGAGCTACGTTGTTCTTATCTTACACCAACTTGGGACCTTATCTATACAGTAGAGACACGTTTAAAAAGTTGCTCTGGGATTTCTTTCAGAGACGTAGATTAAAGTGAGATGTGATTCAAGTGTGTTTATGGAAGGAGGGCTGATATGAAAGTACACAGTATAAAAGAAACGCCCCCCCCAGGTGGCATGTCAGATTTGGTATCAATGTACCTAACGTAGGTGGTAGGTGGTGGGGGTGTGGGGTGTGTGTGTGTGTGGGGGGGGTGTGGGGTGGGGGTTGTGGATCACTTCCATCCTTCTGCACGAACCACTGCCCCGGGTCATGTCTCGTTTCATACACAACTAATACGAGGCGACTATAAAAGCATAATTATGTTATCTTTACGCATTATATTTTAAGATCCTAATATCATCACTACAATTACCTTGTTCATCGTATTATATCTAAGTCTAAACTAAACTTTTTCTGGACAAAGGAGAAATTTTCCAATAAATACTCGGCCACGGTTTGGACAAGGGTGTCGGGGCGAGACCTTTCCTAGTTGAGGAGAGCAGAAATGTCCAAGGAGGCAGTATGGGCTCAAACATCACGAGCTAAGGATACCCTGTTACATTTACCACGTATTACTTGTGCATGAAACGAGACATGTCCCGAGACAGTGGTTCATACAGAAGGCAGTGAGCCCCCCCTTCCCAGAGCAGAGGGCCACGAGTTCCAAGACCTCTTCCAACACCTATATACGGGAGTGGGGGGGGGAGTCTCGTTTATGAGTGACAGTACAACACGTAAGGTTACTTAAACCATCAAATCAGGAACCAACACATAGCAATGGTTTTCAATTAGACAGGTTTAGTTTTAGGCGTAAATTAGGTCAACACTGAGGTGGATGAGTGGAACAGATTACTAAACACTCGTCATTTACTCAAGAGTCGCTGAGAAGGTTCAAATATAGGTTGTACAGATATAGGATTGATAAGGCCTGAGTGTAAACAGGGCTGCCTAGAATGGGTCAATAGGCCTCCTGCTGTTACCTTTATTAATATCATTATTATTAATATTATTAATTTGTATTGCCACTTCTCGTTATAAGGCAACATTTACCTAACAGTTAGCTACTGAAACCGTTGATTAAAAAACAGTACTGAGCTTCAAAACGCCCTGGGCAAGGTTATCACCAACCCAACACTGGAGGATCCTTGAAAGGCCATCTGCCACCCCTTCCCTCCCCCCGTCACAGACACTATTAGTTGTGGAGGTTGTGGGGTTAAGTAGGCAAAATAATGTAACAATTGAGAAGATAACTTACATCCTTGTAGGACCCCGCCATCGTGTAGTACTTATTAGGATTTGTCACTTCTGATGTGGACGGTGTTGACGCGTACTGCAGGACACAACCTGTGGAGGCAGACAGTGTTTAACGACTAGCGGGTGACCCTGTACAACACCACCTCCTGCTCAGCGCCCACACACTCAGTGAATGTAAACAGTATTACCATTCTCCGCGTGCTGACAGTTGCCAAGCGTGCGTCCTCCAAATAACCAACACTCCCCCTCCTCTCCCCACTAAAACTAAGCTAAGATAAATGAAACAAAAAACATTGATCATATAACAATGAAGCCGTACTTAAATTTGTCTGTATTACTGAAACATGGTCTCGATATTTTTTGTTAAAGTTGTGGTTTGTTCGTGTGAGCAGTGAGAGCCGCATCTGGCAACTCAACCAAAACGTGGTAGTGGTAGGAAGCATGAACTGAGCATGCTTCCCAGATGGTCGGTGTAAACGCTTCTGCGCTTCACCTTGCACAGGATGTAAGGGGGTGCCCAATAAACTAGCCTCCTCCGGGGCAATCTGTAATAAAAAAATCTGTTTTTGTTGGGTAGCCGAGAGGGTGTGGGGGGGAGAGGTGGGGGGTGGGGGGGGCTCACCATGAGATTCGTGTGGTAGGCATCTTAACGAGTTTATCTGTGACTTCCATAACAATAACGTCGAGTTAACTTATTAAAGAATGCAGGAACTAAGGTCGTTTATACACGGTTTTGTAAGATTGGCTGTGAGTGTCAACAATTTTCTCAGCGTTTTAGTCTTGCATAGTCACTCTGCCCTTTATATATATAGAATGAGTTAATTTCGTTGTTTACATCAGCACCGTGGACAGGAATGGCTTCATATACATACAAAAAATAGACGAAAAAGATGTTAGTAAGCTGGAACACCAAGGCATCACTCACAGGTACACTACTTCCCTAAAGTTACCTAACTTAACTGTAACCTAACAAGCTTACCACTATTCTAACCTAACCTAACTTACTGTAAATTAACCCACCTTTAACCTAACCTAACTAACTGTAAATTAACCCACCTTTAACCTAACCTAACTTACAGTAAATTAACCCACCTTTAACCTAACCTAACTAACTGTAAATTAACCCACCTTTAACCTAACCTAACTTACAGTAAATTAACCCACCTTTAACCTAACCTAACTTACAGTAAATTAACCCACCTTTAACCTAACCTAACTAACAGTAAATTAACCCACCTTTAACCTAACCTAACTTACAGTAAATTAACCCACCTTTAACCTAACCTAACTTACAGTAAATTAACCCACCTTTAATCTAACCTAACCAAACATGACCTAACGCGTTCCTAGTAATTTAACATAATAAAACAGATTCAGATTTCTCGTTGCCTTAATGTGACAAATCAGTACTTGGTGTCAGTTGGTATTTTCCTCCTCCACCTTCTCTTCCTACTTCTCTTCCTCCTTCTCTTCCTCCTTCTTTTCCTCCTCCTCCTCCTCCTCGTCCTCCGTCAGGTGGGTCTCATGTATAATTCACTCCGCCTCCTCACCAGTTTATTTCATCTCGTGATTACCTTTGGGTGGGGGGTGGGTGAGTGAGGTTAGGTTAGGTTAGGTTAGATTAGATAAGTGTGGTTAGGTTAGCATGAAGGTGATATAATCTTAGGCTCCCAATCTTTAAGAGTTGAAAAAAAATGGTAGTAAGTAATAAAAGATTACTGAAATCTCTCTCTCTCTCTCTCTCTCTCTCTCTCTCCCTCCTCTCTCTCTCTCTCTCAGCATCGTATCAGCGTTGCTACCCAATCTAGGCATACCAGCTTAATGATAACAAGAATAATAACAGGGTGGTAACAGAATCATACATCTACCTACAACGCGAAGCTGGGGTGAAGCTGAGTGACAAAGCTTCGGTCGGAATCTTACTTGCAGTCGTATAGTCTCGGTGCAGTTTGGAAGCCATTACTCTTTTTACCCCACCCCACACCCACCCCTACCCCACACCCACCCTACCCCACACCTCACCTGATCCTCTCCCCACCACCACCACCACCACCAACACTACACCTTACCTGACCTCTCGTGTAAAAGTGGGAGTCTTCAACACTACACCTGGGAGTGGATCTTGGCTGGTGTCACCTGGCTGAAACACAAGCTGCAGAAGAGTTAATGAGAAACACGAGAAAGACTTACGATTTTATAAGGATGAAACTCTGCATCACTCCATGAAGAAGATATAAGAAGGAACATATATATATACATTTTAGGGTTCAAATCTAATTTACTTCTATTGGGAGAAAGACCTGGAATTGATGAATTTACTGTCTGTCTGTCTGTCTGTGTCTGTCTGTCTGTCTACCTGTGTCTGTCTGTCTGTACAATGTTGTCTCTTTAGTAATATATTGTTTAATGTTGTGTGTGTTGTGTGGGTGCGTGCGTGCGATACATCTTAACATGAACATCATACCATAACATATTATTATTCCATCCATCCATCCATCCATCCATTCCTTCCTTCCTTCCTTCCTTCCTTCCTTCCTTAATTCCATCCCTCCCCTACTTCCTCCTTCCCGCCCCACTAAGGTTACCACAGCCAAGTATAGAACATAGAACAAGACACAGGTAGACAATGCTTCCAAATACAGCCAAGGTGTGCTGGGTGTGTGACAGTCAGCACACGGTGTATTCTTGACCACAAACGACAGTTCTTTGGAAAGTAAAAACTAACGTGTTTATATTGTGGAGATATACTATATATTGTGAAGATAGTCTATATATTGTGGAGATATTCTATATATTGTGGAGATAGTCTATATATTGTGAAGATATTCTATATATTGTGAAGATAGTCTATATATTGTGAAGATAGTCTATATATTGTGAAGATAGTCTATATATTGTGGAGATAGTCTATATATTGTGGAGATAGTCTATATATTGTGGAGATATTCTATATATTTGAAGATAGTCTATATATTGTGGAGATAGTCTATATATTGTGAAGATAGTCTATATATTGTGAAGATAGTCTATATTGTGGAGATAGTCTATATATTGTGGAGATATTCTATATATTGTGAAGATAGTCTATATATTGTGAAGATAGTCTATATATTGTGAAGATAGTCTATATATTGTGGAGATATTCTATATATTGTGAAGATAGTCTATATATTGTGAAGATAGTCTATATATTGTGTGGAGATATTCTATATATTGTGGAGATAGTCTATATATTGTGGAGATAGTCTATATATTGTGGAGATATTCTATATATTGGGAGATAGTCTATATATTGTGAGATAGTCTATATATTGTGGAGATAGTCTATATATTGTGAGATAGTCTATATATTGTGGAGATAGTCTATATATTGTGGAGATATTCTATATATTGTGAAGATAGTCTATATATTGTGAAGATAGTCTATATATTGTGAAGATAGTCTATATATTGTGGAGATATTCTATATATTGTGAAGATAGTCTATATATTGTGAAGATAGTCTATATATTGTGGAGATATTCTATATATTGTGGAGATAGTCTATATATTTGGAGATAGTCTATATATTGTGGAGATATTCTATATATTGTGGAGATAGTCTATATATTGTGGAGATAGTCTATATATTGTGGAGATATTCTATATATTGTGGAGATAGTCTATATATTGTGGAGATATTCTATATATTGTGAAGATAGTCTATATATTTGTGGAGATATTCTATATATTGTGGAGATATTCTATATATTGTGAAGATAGTCTATATATTGTGGAGATAGTCTATATATTGTGAAGATAGTCTATATATTGTGGAGATATTCTATATATTGTGAAGATAGTCTATATATTGTGGAGATATTCTATATATTGTGGAGATAGTCTATATATTGTGGAGATATTCTATATATTGTGAAGATAGTCTATATATTGTGAGATATTCTATATATTGTGAGATAGTCTATATATTGTAAGATAGTCTATATATTGTGAAGATAGTCTATATATTGTGAAGATAGTCTATATATTGTGGAGATAGTCTATATATTGTGGAGATATTCTATATATTGTGAAGATAGTCTATATATTGTGAAGATAGTCTATATATTGTGGAGATAGTCTATATATTGTGGAGATATTCTATATATTGTGAAGATAGTCTATATATTGTGGAGATATTCTATATATTGGAGATAGTCTATATATTGTGGAGATATTCTATATATTGTGAAGATAGTCTATATATTGTGGAGATATTCTATATATTGTGAAGATAGTCTATATATTGTGGAGATATTCTATATATTGTGGAGATAGTCTATATATTGTGAAGATAGTCTATATATTTGGAGATATTCTATATATGGAGAGATAGTCTATATATTGTGAGATATTCTATATTGTGAAGATAGTCTATATATTGTGGAGATAGTCTATATATTGTGAAGATAGTCTATATATTTGAAGATAGTCTATATATTGTGAAGATAGTCTATATATTGTGAAGATAGTCTATATATTGTGGAGATAGTCTATATATTGTGAAGATAGTCTATATATTGTGAAGATAGTCTATATATTGTGAAGATAGCTCATATATTGTGAAGATAGTCTATATATTGTGGAGATAGTCTATATATTGTGGAGATAGTCTATATATTGTGAAGATAGTCTATATATTGTGGAGATAGTCTATATATTGTGGAGATATTCTATATATTGTAGATAGTCTATATATTGTGGAGATAGTCTATATTGTGAGATATTCTATATATTGTGGAGATAGTCTATATATTGTGGAGATATTCTATATATTGTGAAGATAGTCTATATATTGTGGAGATAGTCTATATATTGTGAAGATAGTCTATATATTGTGAAGATAGTCTATATATTGTGAAGATAGTCTATATATTGTGAAGATAGTCTATATATTGGGAGATAGTCTATATATTGTGGAGATAGTCTATATATTGTGAGATAGTCTATATATTGTGGAGATAGTCTATATATTGTGATAGTCTATATATTGTGAAGATAGTCTATATATTGTGAAGATAGTCTATATATTGTGAAGATAGTCTATATATTGTGGAGATAGTCTATATATTGTGAAGATAGTCTATATATTGTGGAGATAGTCTATATATTGTGGAGATAGTTTATATTGTGAAGATAGTCT